CCCCAAAACCCCAAAACCCCAAAACCCCAAAACCCCTAATGCTGAAATTAAGGTTGAGTGGTCTTATTCTGAGTATTTTAGCATATCCTTTATGAGAAGATTCTTGAAAGACTATCCTTATGAATCATTTTGGCATTCATAATTATATTTTCAGTATCCCTCATCATGTAGAATGAGTTTAGAGAGGTAGTTGATGAATTTCGAGAGAGGTTCCTTGAGAAGTTCTTGCTCTTTTCACGCTTTACCCACCTAGATGACTGTTCCTGATGACGCTGGTGGGACCTCTGAAGCTCATGACTTTCTCTCTCCTTATTATCAGTAATTGGGTCAATATATCGAGGTTTATGAGCTATAAGTCACAAATAAGACTTACATGAATTTATCTTGGTAATTATGATGGGAGGTTCAGCTTCTGGTGTCTTACACTGTCTCTCCACCATCTCATTCATCTTCATCCGTTCCTTGGTCATAGGACTTCATACCCCAAGATTAACTAGAAGCTTAGAAAATATTTCAGGTCTCACTTACTTCTCTGATGCCTAAGTTTGCCTTTGCTACTAATTGCTTCTCTGTCTTCCTTCAGAAAATTCTAGTTTGTAAATGTTATGTTTAAAAAGAGAAATTTTAATATGAATTTATAATTTATTTTTCTTAGCAATGAGACCAACAGATTTAAAATTTGTACATCCAGCCGAAAGAACAGGGGAGTATCTGTACCCAAAGGTATGAGTTTTAGAGTTATTTTAGATCTGCTCAACTGGTCATCATGTTTCGGTGGGCAACCCGAGCCTGAGCATATTTGGAAGAGCCAAGAAGTCGTTGAGTATATCGAATAAATAAACTTCTTTCTAACAACATAACCACTTTTACAACTCAGGAGAGATTTTTCCAATACGAAATGGGATCTCGAAATGGGTCTGCAGGAAATAAAGTCGGACCTGCTACTTACAGCCTTCATAGCAATAACAAAAAGAGAATCAGAGGTTCTATCAGTTATAGGAGATATTCAAGTAATCATCATTAGTTTTAACTCTCTAGATATTCCAACTGGTGAAGATCCAAGCCATTATTCTTACTTTGGAAACCATTTGGTAAAGACAATGATTTCTGATTCTAAAATGAGAAAGACCTAAGTGCAAATTGAACAAAAAGTTGGCCAAAAAGTTTCGTAGGTCCATAAAATCTTCCAGACGTCTCAGAAAACCAGTCGATTTATTAGATATTGATGTAAAGAACAGTCATAGAGATACTAACAGGTCTGCTTCTACCAAGACCAATAAATTTAGAACTACAGCTACCTCGAAAGGGAGATCTCATCATATGAGCACGATTTACCCTCAGCATGAAAAGGGCATGCTTGGCAAGCTTCAGAATTTCAGAAAAATGACTAGGAAGAAGACTTTAGAAACCGAGATCACCCCTCCAGAAGAAACTAAGAAGGCAAACCCTTATCTTTCAAAACACGATGCTGCTAAGTTCCAACAAATGTTTAAGGAGAAAGCTAAAGCAGCAAAGCCCAGAAAGTTGAAGAAAAGAGAAGGAATTTTAGAGAAGTTTTCAAGACTTATGAAGAGAAAGGAAACTACTGATTTCATGATCAATCTTGGCAACTAAATCAGCCTTGACTAAGAGAAAATACAGACCTAGGACTCTGTGTTAGAACAAAAAGAAATAGAGTCAGAGCTAACCTTTGATTTGCTCTCAAGAAATGAAGCAGAGATTAGATAAATTGTAATTTCTCTCAAAACACCTTGTGAACAATTCTAATATCTAAGAATCTGGTGAGAGTACCTTTATGCATACAATAAAGGAAGGCTCCGCTATATCTGTAAAAATGAGAAATTTTAGGCTAATTATTATGAATCCTACAAGAGTTACTTAAAAATAGTCTAAAAGTGCACTAAAAATCAGAGGCTTGGCTTGTTATTCTTGAGCCTAACCTCTCAGACAATTTTTTAAAGCTCACAAAGTGAAACTTAAACAGTTCACTCCTCAAAGGGCTATTATCAAATAATTGTCATTATTTAATGGGTAATGTATTTCATATATCAAAAAATAAGGAGATATAGAAATTTTAATAATATAAGCCCAATTTTTATCCCTTCTGCTTGCTCAGGATGACCAAGAAGATATTTTTTAAGCTACCTTTAAAATCTCAGGTATTTCTCTCTACATATCAATTTAGAACATTATTTTAGAATTTATGTGCTATTTGAGACAACTTAATACGAAGATTGGAGGGAGAAATTTAATTATTCTTGCCTATACTCAATTTTGTAGCTAGATTTCAACTTTTATGCTAATTACTGACAGAAATAAAATCGCTGAAGAAAAATAAATACTCGGGTTATTATTTGTCTGGTTGATTTACTTACTTTAGTCTTGGGCTTGTGGCCTTTGAATCCTTTGTACACTACTTTTTGAGATGGCGAGTAATAATCTAGATATTGTTAAGCTGATGTTCAAATAAACAATGACTTTAAAGCTAGTTCCATAGCTCAAGTGTCACTAATCTCTGAGATATCTCTAAAGTTCTCTTTATTTTCAAATATGGCATTATATTCAGTAGTAGTTTGTCTAATCTTTCTAATATTTGTAAGGAATCGAAAGGTACTAATTACATTAAACTTTCTATTTAGGATTTAAGCTAGAGAATTGAGTTAAAGCAAGTCAAGCTCTTGAGCGTATAAATACCTTGAAATTTTATCCGGGATTTTAGAGTTTTTATTCCACTGAGAGAGGTTAATATCAGCACATCATTTTTCTTAAGAGGATCTTCTCCACTGATAGTATTCCTTTCAAGATCTGAAAGAAGCGATCTTCGAACTTCTGGCGTTTTTACTAGAGCTCTCCGGTCTTCATATTTCCCTTGAAGATCAGCATATTCCGGAGCCTTGAGTTTATTCCCCCTCATGCGATTGTGTGAAACAAGGGAACTAGTTTTAGGAGTTTTTGCTTTAATTAATTCATTGTTGAGTGGTTTTGGGCTATCTTCAGAGCATTTTTCATCAATATTGTCTAGAATTTATCTAAAATCATACTAAATTTAGGAGAAGTCATTCTTGTGAAGGGTTTATTAATGATCTTCTCGACTCTATAATCAAGGTAATTCCTCAAATTCTCGTTATTTGGTATGGCTGATCTTGTCAGTCTCAATTAATTGTGCATAGAGATTCCCATTTTGTTGCTGCTGCCTGAAAAATATCATCAATTAAGCAAACCTTCTTCTGAGGATCTCATAGTGCTTGTTATTTTTGAAACTGAGAGCTTGAATTCCTGTTGTTTATGAAATCGAGCTTCTTTAAGGTCTCATCTTTTTCAAAAATAGGGAACTTAGTCATCTGGTCTATTCCTTGAAATTGATTATAACTTGCGATTTTTGGATCAATTGACTTGAAATCCTATGCAATTTGGGACAAAAAATACTGCTTTGTTATAACTCTCAAGTTTTTTGAGAATGGCTCTAGGAGGTTCAAGGGTTAAGCTACCTATTTTTCTGCTAGACTCATGGCTTCACTTCCTCGGTCTTTAAAATGTATAAAATTTGACTCGTATTCTGTAGTCAGATGTATAAGTGGGTTGTTCATGCTGAGATAAGTGAGTCATTCAGCAAAGGTTGTCTTCTCTTTAGTGTAATTTTTCTGTTGAACTTTGGCCAGTTTCTCTAAAGGAGTTAGGCTCTGAAAGCATACTTATTTTCCCATGAGGCTCTGTAAGCTTGTTAATAATTGTGTTCCTGATATCATCATATTCCTTCTCATCTTCTTCATCAGTAGTCTGTTCACCATTCTGACTACTTCTGCTGTGAGGTCTTTTTCTTCCTAAACTTTAAGAAGAACTTTACTTCTTCTGAAGAAGGCCTTCTTTGAGAGCCTTGGCCTTCTCTTTCTATTACTTGATACTGTGTTTAGCCTTGAGTGATCTGATTGGGTAAGGAAGAACTTTTACCAGGTGAATTAATCTATATAAATATTTGTTGAGATTTGACCATGTCTAAGACAGAGGATAATAGAATTAGTAAAACTGAAGAAAATATAATTTGGTTAAAAGAACGGCCCTGAAATTAATTCCCATATACAAATATCTATTCTTCATGTGGTGAGTGAGGAGGATGGCTTCTTGAATTTGATTTTTGGATATTTTATTCCTACCTTATATCTCTCAAGCTTTTTGGTTGCACCATTGATAATAACTCTGTATGATTTAAGAGGTCCAGATTTCTTTGTTTTTGTGACAGTTTTCCTAAAATATTACAAAAACTCTACTTATTTTGTTTTCTTTTGTTTGATAAATTTGGTTAATTTCACCTTTTTAAAATTAATCTGCTTTTTATCTGCCTCATCTATACTCGCTCCTACCAATCCCTTACCTCTATCAATACTCACAGTTCCTTCATCCTCCTCATAATTCTCCAAAATCACCTCTTTATTTTTTAAAAATTTCGAACTCTTCGCCTACAAATTTAACTCAAACAAATCTCTCAAAAATCTATAACCACAGATTTCCTTTAAAATCTATTTCTCTCACCTTAGAATACCTTCTTTTTCCTTTCATCTCACTCTAAACTTAAATTCACCCAAAACTCTAAATTAACCCTCACTCAATCAAATTTCCTTCTTTAATTAATAATCCATATTCAATTGAAAATTAATAAATCGGGGTTTTGGGGTTTTGGGGTTTTGGGGTTTTGGGGTTTTGGGGTTTTGGG